TCACCGTGGCAGAGTGACCGGCCTCCTCCTTGGACCAGCCTTCCGTCCGGAAGGTGCCTCCCGCAACCGCCCAGCTTCAGCCGCTGCTCCTACTCGGCCGCCCCGCAGGTCACCTGGCAGGCCAGGTTGGGGGGGGGCTCTTCGCAGGGATGCCCAGCCGAAGACCCCCATCTGCAGCCCCTCCCCCCTCGCGAGGACTCCCTGGGGGAGGCACTGCTGAATAAAAAGGGCCACTCGGTCTGGACTTGTGCGTGCGGCTCTTGTGGGAGGGATGGGGAGAGCGGGGGCCCTTCCTACCCACCATGCCATGTCCCCCCCCCCCCCGAGACAACCCCCCCTCCCTTTCCTGGCAGCCCAGATGTTGGCTGCTCCTTTGGCAGAGTTGGTGTCGGATTAGAACTGCTAATCCGGGAGTTTAACGCAGAGCTTTGGCCTCGTCCTGATGGCGCTCAGCAGGGCAAAAGGGCCCCTCCCCCAAAGGGCACCTTCAGCCAGGTGCCAGGCAGGGCTGGGCAGGTGGCACAGGATGCAGCCCCCCCCCCTTCTGCCCACGGTCTGGAGCTGGGAAGCCCCAGCTGTGGCCTCTGCCAGGCTCAGCCGTTCCAGCTGTGTCCCAGCAGCACATTAGCAGAGGGCAAGCAGGATTACCAGCCGTTATCGGATCAGGCCCTCATCGGGCGGGGGCAGGGGGGGAAGGACGCGCTCCAGAGGAGACGGCCAGTGTCTGTCCAGCCGGACCACGGCCGGGATCCCCCCCCCCCCCGTCTCTGCCTCTCCTGCTTGGTGGGGCCAGGAGGGCAGGTGGGGCCAGGCTGAGGAGGGAGGGTGGCAAGGAAAGTCTCGGGGGGGGGGACCTCTGGCTCTTCTGGTTGGGGCTGAGGAGTTTGGCAGGTATGGGAATGGCAACTGAAGGCGCCCCTCCGATGTTCCCACCAGGACCCCCCTGAAGCTCTCTGGCTGTAAGCTGCCTGGCCCTCTGAGGTACCCGGAGGAGGCCTTGAACCGTGGCTCTGCACACCCGAGGAGCCCCAGTGAGGGGGGGGGGCACCTGGTGCCTCCTGATGGGCCCCCTTGATTGGCAGCCCAAGAGAGAAATCTCCCTGCCCCCCAAGAGAGGAGAGAGCCTGCCAGTCACCTGAGGCCGAGGAGGATGGACCGGACCTTTTGGAGGTTCCTTCTGGGGGGGGGGTGTCTATGCTGCCTGCCTCGGGGGGACCCAGCCCTTGCTCTGAAGCAGATCCTCCCTGGGGTCGAATGTGGAGAAAGCCCCTGCTGGAACTGCGGAGGGGAGCAGGGGGAGGGTCTCCGGGCTCCCTCCTGAAGCCAGCCTGCCTGCCCAGAAAGGCCGGGAGTGTGTGTGTGTGCCAGTGCTTAACCTGCCACCCCAAGGAGGGGCTGCATTGCCCAGCAGGGTCTTCCCAGCTATGCTGGAAGAGGTGGGCCGTAGATCCCCCCCCCCAAGCTAATTCACAGCTGTATTTTGCACACTTGACCAGTTCACACACTTGTTGAGGGCACTTCGGCCCAGAGAGAGGACATGCTGGGCCTGCTTCGTCTTCCCTGGCGCCTCCATGACCAAGAGGCCTCTGGGTTGCCCTGAGCCCCTTCGCGTCCAGGGAAAAGAGGGAGGGGCTCTTCACTGGGGGCAGGGGGGGAAGGGGAGGCAGCCAAAGGTCTTCTTCACACAGCCCCCTTCCCCGGATGCTCCTTGGGCTCCCAGCTGCCTTCCCACAAGGGCCTGAGCCGGAGATGTGCCTGGAGAGGGGGGGTGGCAAGGGGGGGTTGGCATGGAGCATGGCACGAGAGCCACAGCCTTCCCGGGGAAAAGGGCGGCTTGGGGGCCAGGAGGGCCTCACCTGTGCAGAGTGGCAGGGCAGCGTCCCTGGGGGGGAAACCGCCTGTGTTCACCATCTTGAGTTATTTATAAAAAATAATAAAGGAAAGATGTGAATTGAATAAAATTCCGATGATCCCCAGGGGGAACCAGGGGGTTGCAACGGCTGAAGTCCCGCTTTCTAGGCTGACCGGCGGCCCCTCTGTTACTCCTTGCCCCAAAGAACAACCGTCGCTATGCGGGACGTATCTGCCAATGGCGACTGCCAGGAAGGCCCTTCTGAGTCTTGGGGGGAGTTGCATGGCCTGAGGGCCGACCAGGAACCACCTTCTCGGGCTCAATGAAAGGGATCCAGTGCAGCCCCGTGTGACAAAATTCAGGAGACCTTTTGGCTCCGGTCAAGAAGGTCTCCTGCTGACCCTGCTCGGTGTCAATGGCCGTCTAGCCCCAAACCTTCCTGGTGGTCCCCCATCCAGCTCTTCATGGGATCGGCTCCTGCCTGCCTGGCTTCCGAAGGTGGGCCAGATGTGTCCGAAGCAAAAGAACAGCTGCTTCAATCTGGCTGTGGCTTCTCCCCTCTGTCGGCCAGAAACCCTCCGCTTCCCAGCTGGTGGTCTCAGAAGGGGGGGCTTTGCTGGCTGACCTCCCTCCCTGAGGCAGCGGGCGATGAGGTGACCTTTGGGCTTCTGGCTGGCCTTCATGCTGGGAGGGCCTGGGCTGCCCTGGGCCAAGGCCTTCTTGGAGGATCCAATCCCCTTCCAGGTTCAGCTCTCCATCACCCGCAGGGACAACCTGGGCCAGAAAACGGATGGCCGTGAGAAGGGAGGGTCTCCTGCCGGCTCTCCTGGCAACTTTGGATCTCATGGAGGGTGTAACCTTTAGGCTCTGCTTCCCCGCTAGGGTGGTCCGGAGCCCTTTGAGGCCATCCGGCTGGGCCTCTGAGCCACTGGCTGGTGTCCCAGGGCAGAATCCCTTCCAGACTGGCCAGGCAGTGCCAAAAGTGGACAAGAGGAGGAAGGTTGGGGTGATACCCTCCTCCTTTCCTGGCCCTGGTCTGAACTGGGAATTCTTCCAGAACTGGTGAACAGAAGGGCAGAAGAAGCAGAGATTCTACCTTTAATTTAATTTGATGATTTTCAGTGCTTTACATCGAGAGAGTCCAGCCTTTGCAACTTTAAGACTTCTGGACTTCAACTCCCAGAATTCCCCAGCAGGCTTTGGTTTGGTGGCTAGGGAATTCTGGGAGTTGAAGTCCACAACTTGCAAAGGTTGGAGGCCTCTGCTTTCCCCAACGTAAAGAATGACTGCCATCCAGTAGTTTCCCTCTCCTAGGCCCCAGGCAGACCTTGCTGCTGACCCCCCTCCCTCCCCAGCATCAGAGCCTCCCCCAGCTCTTTGCCCTGGTCCAATGTGTCCAGAATACCATAATTTGAGCCTGGTCGGTTTCTGCCTTGAGGGACAGCTGACGTCTCCCCTCCTCTGCTTGTCTCTTGGCTGTCCACCCTCTTCTCGGAGGTCTTCACCAAAGCTCCGAAGTGTTTTGTCCTTGTCCATAAAAGAGGCGGGTGGGAAAACCTGATTTTTGGTCAAGACGCATCACAACATCTGCAGATCTTTTCCAGGCCTTCCTGGCTGCTCTGCCCAGGGCTGCTCTGCGGTGTTTCTCTTGATTCCTTCGGTCCTGATGGCTAGTCAGAAAAGAGCTGGAAGGGACTCTGGAGGTCTTCTAGTCCAGCCCCTTGTTCAAGCAGGAGGCCCTGTGCCATTTCATACAAGTGGCTGTGCAATCTCCTCTTAAAATCTTTACTCCCAGGGATGAAACACCCACAACTTCTGGTGGCAAGCTGTTCCACTGGTTACTTGTTCTCCCCGACAGGAAGTTTCTCCTTAGTTCCAGATTCCTTGGTTAGTTTCCACCCATTGTTTCTTGCTTTCTGGTGCTTTAGAGAACAGGTTGGACCCCTCTTCTTCAGCCTCTCAAATCCTGGAATGTGATATCCTGCCCCCCCCACCCCCCAGTCCTCCTTTTCTCTAGACCAGCCAAAGCCAAATCCTGCAACCGGTTCTTCGTATCCTTCAGTCTCCAGGCCCCTAATCAGCTTAGCTGCTTTTTCTATGCACTTTTTCCAAAGTCTCAACATCTCTTTTTGCAATGTAACTGGATGCAGGATTCCAGGTGTGGCTGCCGTAAGACCTTCTAGAGCGGGACTAATACTTCACGTGAACAACACCTGACCCCCCCCCCCACACACACACAGGTAGAAGCCTCCCCTCCCTTTGCTGCCTCCACTCTCCCTTCTGAGCTGGGGGTTCTACTACGGGGATGCCAGCCGTTTGAGCGTCTTTCATTTCTCTCTCTGCTCTGTGGCCTTTCCCCCCCCGGGAGCTTCACACCTTCAGCTATCTGCCTGTTCTCATCGGCACAGATTCTAGACCAGTGTTTCTCAACCTTGGCAACTTGAAGATGTC